AGCCAAGCCTCTGACCTTTAAAACTCTAGGCTTTAAGCCCTACTGACTGCAAGAACTCATGAAATTTGGCCCCTGTCACTTTCGAAGCCAAGTGCTATGAGCATTCATTTCCCTGTGTCAGTCTGCCTCTAGCCTGTCTCCGCAACCGCAGCTTCCTCCCCACCACAGCAGCCTCGATCCGTTTCTCTCCCAAACCGCGTCTCCCCGCTTCCTAACTTCTTCATGATGGCTTCTTTGTACCTTTAGTTGTGGAGTTTGTTCTGCCAGTCTTCAGGTCAATTTCTGGGGGATTTAGAATGATTGGATACTTATCTCGTCCTATTCATGAGACCCGGCATACCTAGGGGCCTCCTGCTTCATGCCATCATCTAATCTCTGGGCTCTAATCTACATTTTTTTTTTTTTTTAATTTTTTTTTTCAACGTTTATTTATTTTTGGGACAGAGAGAGACAGAGCATGAACGGGGGAGGGGCAGAGAGAGAGGGAGACACAGAATCGGAAACAGGCTCCAGGCTCTGAGCCATCAGCCCAGAGCCCGACGCGGGGCTCGAACTCACGGACCGCGAGATCGTGACCTGGCTGAAGTCGGACGCTTAACCGACTGCGCCACCCAGGCGCCCCTCTAATCTACATTTTGATGAAACCCTTTATTTCATGAATATACTGTAATGATTTTTCAAAAAGACAGTAGCATGTGATCATGCTTTGAAAGTTATTCATAAAACTTAATAAAAATGTTCTACTTTTTAAACACTTAGTGAAATGTTCAGGGTATTAGCATTATGTAGACATTATAGAAAAGTGTTTGTCTTGGGGCTACTGGTTGGCTCAGTCAAGCATCCAGCTCTTGATTTCGGGTCAGGTCACGATCTCAGTTTGTGAGTTCGAGCCCCACATTGAGCTCTGGCTGTCAGTGCGGAGCCTGCTTGGGATTCTCTCTCTCTCTGTCCCTCCCCACCTTGTGTGCTCTCTCTCTCAAAATAAATCAACTTTTTAAGTGTTCATCTTAATGACATTTATTCAACAAACATTTGAGTGTGTACTGTGTGCTGAATGCAGGAAGCAGGGATGAATAAAACACCATCCTACACCCTAGGACATAGATCTATGGATTGCAAGTGCTAGTTTAGAAATACACTCAATACTTGTGGAGCCCAGAAGGGCATGTGGAGTAAGGATGGCAGATAAGCGAGTTGTTGAATGCTTCTTGGAGGCATTATCACCTAATCACCTAAAATGTGTTAGCCAGAGGAAGGCATCCTTGGCTGAGAGGTCAGCATGAGCAAAGGCAGAAAATTGTGTATTGTGAATATGTGTGCGTGAATGTAAGGTAGAGTAAGTCAGTGATGCTGGCACAGAAAATTAAAAGCAAAACAGGCTATCTGTGTAGCATGGGCCAGATCAGAGAGTTTTGTGGGTTAGGCTGGATTCTGAGCATTATCCTGGAGGCTAGAGGGAGTTTCAAATGTTTTAAGCAGGGGACTAAAGCTATTGGATTTTGTTATCAATATACTCTGGTAGTAGAATGGGAGGGAGAGGGTCTGGGATAGGAAAACTCGTTATATTTTTTGTATTGTTTCAGGAAGAGATTCGCAAGTCTGAAATGAGAGTTAGAGGGAAGACATAATATTTAGTATGTAGATCAACAGGACTGTGAGTCTGATCACATGTGGGGTAATGGAGTGGGAAGTCTCATTTGGGTGGGTGGTTGAACCCCCAAATTAGGTAGAAATCCAGGAACATGATAAGTTTGGACCTGCTGTATTTGAGTAGGTCTCTGGGTGGGAATGCATCACAGGTAGAAAAATTCAGAGGTCTGGGCTAGAGATCAATGCATGGAGGCTTTAGTAGATAGGGGATAGCTGAGACCATGAGAATGGCTGAGATCAGCCAAGATGAATGTGGAGATAAATGGCATAGGACATTTAAAAGGTAAGTGTGTGAATAAGAGCCCAGGAAAGAGAAGGGAGACATCATATTACAACAGAGGACAAAGGAGTAGTTTTAAGGAATGAATTATTAGTGGCAAATACAGAAGAGATCCTCTGATGAGATCAGAAGTAAACACACTCAGTCGGCAATCAAGAGGTCACTGTATGAGGGACGAGAACCAGAGGGGGGGTGGGAAAAGTGAGGCGGTAAATGTGCACAGCTTGAGAACTCTGGATCTGAATGGAAGAAGGGAGCGTAGAGCTGATGTTAACGAGATTTACGTTTCCTAAAAGGATGAAACAGGAACATGTTTGCTCCTGAAGAGGAAGGAATAGAAACAGGTTGAAGATAAGAGTTGTTTTTTTCCCCAAGCTTAGAAATCTGCTAGGAATCTTCAGCCTACTCAGGAAGACTGCATCAGAATCAAACTTGTAGCCAGTTCATGCATCAGGACTGTTCATAAGCACAGTAGCTAATCCATCTTCGTTAAAACCTATGCCTTCCCTAAGTTTTAAGTCAAAGGAGTAAGAGCTCAATAGCCAATTACAGGATAAAATAAAATTTGTTGTCAAAGAATGATACTGCTTTTTCTGGGATGAATATAAATCAGTATAAACGAAGAGTGTATTTTTCTGTGGAGACTATGCTATAGACTGGCAGAAAAGTGACCTGGCAGCTTATACTACTCACCAAGAGAGCAGCACAAGCCCTGAAAAGTGGTAAAAGTTCCATGTCCCTTATGAATACTAATTAAGTCACCAAGAGTCCTTTGTACCAGTAAAGTGAAGGCTTGGCCACCCATGTGATAGCATACAGGCAAAATTCTTGATCATCAAGGACCCACTTTTATGTTAATTAAAAAAATTTTGGTGAAGTTGGTAATTTGAATGATTCTAAAATTCCTTTCAAGAGCGTATTTCTCTTTGCTGGAATAACCCAAACAAATATTTTAATAAATAAGTTTTAATAGAATGAAGAACTGTGAACCAAATAAAGATGGAGTTGTCTCTAGGGAACAGATATCTTCAAATAAAACAATAATTTAAAACAAGGTGAGAAGAACCCGAAAACGAGAGAGAGGACTGATTTTAATTGGCTGCAGAATGCTTTGGTTGCTTTAAAAAAAAAAAAAAGTAAATCTTAACATTCAAGACAAAACACATTCAAAAACGTAAAGGCTTGAACACTTGGGCCTGTGTCAGTGGAAGGGATGTTTGTAGCAAGCTAATAAAATCAAGACTTTTTAAAATCTAAATTATTCCTTCCCTTCATTCATCAAGTCAACAAATATTGACTGAGGGCCTGATAAAGGACATCAAACCTTTGGCAATACACAGGTGCTTTTTAATCAGTCTGTACTCGTCCATGCGTGCTCAGACCCTGAGTTCCTCCTCTTGCAGGCTGGCCTGAGTCCATGGTCTCCTCTGCCCTACCTCTTTGAGGCTCACACCCTTCACTGATGCTGCCTCCTGCTGACCTCCTGGTCCCTTCTCTTCATTCACTGAACATGTCGGTGCCTGACCTAGCTTTCCTCTCTACTTCAACTTCTGCCGTCCTCCTGGATGATTTTAGTGTCCACCATCCCACCCAACTGTCCTTTCAGGTTTCCTGTTCTCGTTTGGTCTCATGATCTTCATTTAGCCACTGCAAGATCACACTCCGCCATGACCTTGCTCCTCTCTGATCACTAATCCATACATCCTGGTCTGAGACTAGTGTTTCCTGTCCTTCCAAACCTGCTTGTTCCAGCAACTCCCAGCAGCCCAGATCTGTTATCAGACTATCCATCAGGCTCCTTACTGTCTTCCCAATGCTCTGTGTCCTTACCTATCCACAGTTTAAATATGTAGGACCACTCTTTCAGCAGTTATTCAGTTAGCATCCCTTTGATCAAACTCATCTGGCAAAACAGCAAGTATCTCCATTTTCTCTGTCTGTACCCAGGCATTGGGGTGCTACTATGGAGGGGAACAACAAAGATCACAACAGGCAAATTAAACTTTAAATTCTCAGTCACCAAGTAGGTGGGTCCTCCATACCGTTCTGTCATCCTGCTGTACATCTGGTCACTTCATTCTCCACAAAAACCATTTTCAAAAGTCCAGTCTCCTTTGGTCTCTGACTTTACTGAGGAAACCAAAGCCTGCATGTGCACCTATCCCCTTTCTCCTTCTTTCTAGAATAGAAGCACCCCTTCCATGTGAAAGCCAGCCAGTTTCTCCACAGGCGCTTTGGACCCCATCCTCTTCCAACCTGGTATGGAACCCAAAAGCATCACTGATTCCTTTTGGCTCTCTTATCTTCAACTTCTCCCTCTTTCCCGGGTCCTTTTTAGAAAGTAAAGCAGGAGCTAAAACGGGAAAGGGAGACACATTGTTGCTTCATTCTCTCCTTTTCATGTCCAAAATTCAAAGTTTTGTAAGATAGCTTCTTTCTGCCATGTGCTGCCTCAGCTGCTGTGGAGGGAATGTTTGCAAGCCACTGGTTATTTCCCGGTTAAATTCAGTCGATGCTTTTAATCCCTCACTCTACTTGGTCTCTCAGCAGCATTCCGTACTGTGCCGAAAAACTCCCTTCTTCCTTTACTCCTCCTGGTTTTCCTCTCATCTCTTCGGCTACCACTTGTCAGTCTCCTTTGCCTTCTTACCTTCTGCCACTTAACTTTTGTAGAGTTCCTCTGGTTTTTCCCTCAGTTTTCTTTTCCTTGTACTCTACAGCAGGTTGGCATATTTTCTACTTTAAAGGGCCATAAAGTAAAATTATTGGGCTTTGCAAGGTACAAAGTCTGTCTTTAGCAACTTCTCAACTCTGTTATGGTAGTGTGAAAGCGGCCATAAACAAGAATTAGACTAATGAGCATGGCTTATTCCAAAAGCCTCTGTTTACAAAAACAGATGGGCTGGATTTTGCATGTGGTTTGCCAGGCCATATTTTAAATGCTTCCTAGTGAGGTACCCTTTCACGTGTCCCCAAACCTGTATATCCAGCTACCTAACATCCACATCTAAGTGTCTCTATAGCATCTCATGAAAGATCTTAACCTAGAAATTCTGCCCTTTCCCTCCAGATCTGGTCTCTCTCCAGTGTCCTTAATAGGAGGCACTGCCATTCAGATGGTTGCACAAGGCAGAAAATAGAGGAGTACCTAAAAGAGGGTAAGTCTAGAAATGGCCATTATTTGAAGCACACAGTCAAATTTAACATTTCGCTAATAGAGCTAAACTTTATTTCCATGTTAATTACATGTTTATATTTGATGTTGTATACATATTAGAATTAACATACAACTTGGGAGAAAAGCTGAGCGTTCTCCACTGAATGGGTTAAAAAGGAATGTAAAACTACAAAATACTTGTTTAAGTGCTGAATTCTAAATTATGGCAAACAGAACAATAATTACCTTGCCATTTTTCTCTTTCTGGTTTTCCAAGATGAATTTTGTTATAAAATATTTTTCATAACAATTTATTTCAAGAAAGGAAATAAGGGATTAAAACCATTTGACTTTAAGTATAGAGTACAAATAAAAAGTCTTAACACAGAACTCCTATCTTCTATTTAAAATACAAATACTTCATGATAGTATGAATTGAGAGGGATTAACTGATGTCAACTGCAAATCTAAGGACCTAAGCAAACCCATACATGCCATTTGCTTTTGTCTGGAAGAGTTAGACTGATTTAAAGGTGACACACAGTGGAATCCTACTTGAGAACTATGTTAACCATTTGCTACTGAGAATGGGGATGGCCAAATACTAAGTGCTTAGTGACAGAAATTCAGATTCATTGGTTCCAAGTGGCTAAAAGAATTAATCATTCCACCTCGTCTACAATCTACGGCCATGTACAAGTGTAGATTTTTTTAAAGTAAAACTCCAGCTACTCTGAAACTGCTGAAAGTCCCAGCACACAAAGAATACTGTTTATAGAATTCCCATGTTTAAAGAAAACCAAAATTATGGATGGTTTATCAAAGTTGTTATTTGGTGATAAATATGGTTTTTTTAATTCTCTAACCCCCATCACATTTTGTGAAGAAAGTTGTGTTCTTCTTAATATTACTAATTTTTAGATACATTTAAAAGAATCAGCTTAAAACTATTTTCCACCAGGAATTACAGGATGAAAACTCTTAATAAAATAATGCTTATTCTCATTAAACAAGGGTTTAGAATCATCTGCAAAAACCATGTTCTTTTTAATGATGTTTATAGGAGACATTTAATAGACTTCTACTTCGATTATTCCACTGATAAATACCTTCTCATGTAACTGTTTAGGACAGATGATTTATGGCTTTTCAGTATTTAAAATTTCACATTTAATGTCATGTTAAAGCTTTCAAAAATCAGTCTTCCAAGATGAGATGTTTAAATAAAAGAAAGGATAAAAGAGAGACAAACTCCTTATCAACAAAGCTTCCTCCCTTCCCCGAACTCAACATTTCTCTTATACTTCAAGGCACGCTCCTCTTCTTAGACCCCAGGGGTCAACAAACTTTTTCTGCAAAGGGCCAGGTAATAAACATTTCAGGCTTTGTGGGTCATATGGTCACTATGTAACTACTTGACTTCTGTGCTGCCCTGAGAAAGCAGTCATAGACCTAGGTATTTACAAAAATAGCAGTCTGAATTTGGCCTGCAGGCCTTAGTCGGCCTCCTGCCTTAGAACAACAGATATAAATAAAACAGAATCATTAAAAAACCAAACCAAACCTGGTCTCTAGTCAGATGACTGACTCAGAATCTAGCAGTTAATCACTCTAGAACATTTTGATGTTGAACGCTTTGCTTTGCATGTAGCCAACTTACTATTTTTGGTTAAGACTTTTCTATTCAAACTTATGTCCTCATGCTTTAATTTATCCTCATTTAAGAACCTGCTTATTATTTATGGAGGGATTCAGTTTAATAAATGATGTCCATACAATTTAATATTCAATTTAATTTTTAAAAAAAACTTAATGAAAAATATAACAGAATCAAAACATTTAAAATAAGTACACTCACTACCCATTCCAGTAATTCATTTCAGTCATATAGAATAGGAAAAATAAATTCCGAAGTGTAATTACTTTAAAATACACTACTTCCACTTTTGTTAATATTTTACATTTATGTATATATTCTGTAGTGGAAGCAGAAATTCTCTCTAAAAACATCTCCTTAAAATCTTGAGGTGCATGTTAGAGCCACAGGCAATATCTTCTGACATATAAAATTGCAGTACAGGCCTTCAAATTTGGCATTTCACTGGTACAATACAATGACCAACATATATAATCACTGTACAGTGCCTAGACATTCCAGTAAGAACCATTATTTTCTTTAATGTAGAATGATTAATACATATTCTACAAGGGGCAGTGAGGTTAGTAATTCTATAGGGTATGTCCTGACATAACTTTCAAATTGTACAATAACACAAACAACTCTGTTAAGGCCATGTTTTATTTGCTGATTAATGGACAAAAGGCAATGTAATTTATTTTCAAGTATTTTCTTGAAAGTCTGTGCTCATAAAAATCATGAAAAGTTGGAAAGACTGTTAAATCACTGAAACTTTAAATATATCTTACACAATCTTGTTTGTACAAAAATACAAGTTAAATATAAACATAAAGCAATCAATGATAATTTTATGCAAATCTGTTTTATGTGATCTTCAGTTATATATAAAAGTTTCTGGGTTCGGTTATTTGTGAAAAGATCAATACCAGATAGAATTACTATCTATTGGCAAAGGGCCCTAAAAAGCTTACTTATCATTAATCTTTTACATGGTTAAGTGCATATCCTAATTTGAGATCACCTAAACACTGGAAAAAAACAAAAAATGAAAGGGCAGTATGTCCATAAACCAACAAATAATTTGGCTGTAATGTATCATAAAACACAAAGAAACCCCCCACATCTGTACAATAAACATGATTACATACTCACACGCCAGTGCCCACGTGCATGCATGCACGTGTACACACACACGCAGGCGAGCACGCACACCCAGTCATAAACCCTAATGAGGCGCTACTTCCAGTTCGATATTCAGCTCTGCATTTTTTCTGATTTCATCAAATGAATAGCTTTTTGTCACCTTCCCATTCTTGAAGACAGTATGGAGAAGATCCTGCACAAATATAATAAGACTAAAATGTAACCGTTATATCAGACGATCAAGCAAAATAAGTTAAGGCTTTGAGGAGTCAGACTCACTAGTCAAATACAGAGATGTTTGATGGCATTCAAATTATGAATGTTTACACGCAGTGCTGGTGGAGCAGACGGAAAACATGGCACTATCTAAAATGGCTATGTAGAAATATTTAGCTTTTATATAAAGCAATGATCTAAATATTCGTAAAAGTTTTCCTTGAAGGGAAAACACGAAAAACGGTAGTTGATCCTTCTCTTTATTTTTCCAGGTGGAAGATGCTTATTGCTTGGTTGCCCAGAAGAATCATGGCTGTTGCTGATAATTATGACTGACAGTGAGCAAGGAAAGCCTGCCAGGCCTTCCCTTGTTCCTAGACAACAGACTCAACACTGATTAAACTTATAACCCTGGAATTTAATAAATTTCCTAGTCACTGAGTTTTGGACTTAGAATAACAACAACAACAAAAAAAACCTAAAAAACAAGAAACCAAACCAGAAACAGAAGTAAGTATTGGCTTCTTGATGAATGCTCAATGACGGATTTAAAAACTCGGTGTATATTACAGAAGTTACTGATACACATAATCCATTTGATCGATGCAAGGGTAACAACAGTCAACTGAGAAAACTGAATTCCCTTTGGAGTCTGAGAAAGCCACTTTCGACTCCCTAAGGAATTGTCTGCCCTTGATTTCCTTTGAAAAATCGACAGATGTAATCCGTTGTGCCTAAGTTTTCCATCAAGATTGAGGTGCATAACCCTTTCTTTCATAAAGTTAAATATCATCAAGGAATGGTGGTTCCTATTCTTAAAATGCCTAGATGATTATAACTGATTACTGTCTCAGATGTTCTAGGGTGTCATTTACATACTCTTGAAATCAATGCATTTTAAAGCCATAGTTGGGACTTTGTCTACACTGACTTTATCAGTCCATTTGGACACACTCATTAGGCAAACTCTCAGTAGCTACAAGAGTTCAGTGAAGGCTACTCAACGACCTGAACAACAGGCTATATTGAAAAGTTTGCTTAGGATCTTATCTTTCATTAAATACAGTAAAATGTTCAGTTCTAGCTCAAAACTTAGTATCACATATACCATAAGTAGAATATCTGAAATGGTATAAAGAATCTACAGTGATAAATTAGTATTTTATGTTTGGAGCAGTTTTCCTCTAAAAATGAGTTTTTTCAATCCAGCGGCTAAAATACATTTTGTAGCTTCTGAGTTTACAAATATAAGTGTATTTTTTATGTTAAAGAGCATCAGATCATACGGACCACTTAAGCACACTATAAACTTTTCCAGTTTGGTTGAGTTGAATCAGAAAACTTGGTTTAATGTAGGTTTCACCTATTATTATGTAATCAGAATCCAGTCATAATGTTTTCACATCTTATATTAAGATAACAATCTGCTTTTGTAGCCCAGAATTGCTGTGAGAAGCACAGGAGACTACAGAAAACCATCTCAACTGGATTCTGCTAAGTTTTTAAAAAATGGGATTATCTTTCAACACCTTAGAATTTGGATAGCCCTTCCTTTATTAAATTACCAGTTTTACAACATAAATAGCTTCCTTTAAGTATTTTTAGCCATTCCTTTTCAGAAAGGACTCGCTGCCAAGTTGGCAGTAACAGTACAGTGGAGTACACGAGGGCTTGCTGAAGTTCATCAGCCACTACCCTGCTGCTCACTGTGTGGATGAACTTTTGCTTTTTTATGAAATGTCCTAGTTTGTCACCCACTGTATGCACAGTTCTTATTTATGATCTAGCCCCTTCTTGGTTTTCATCTTATTTTGGTTGCTAGGTTAGCAACCGCACACGTTTTACAGCAAAAGTACTTTGTCCTTCAAGAAAAACGTTCTGGAGATACTTTAAAAATGCAACGTAAGAGCCCGCTTTCATAATATGGAAGATCAGCAAAGATAACATACATGACCATATTCCTCAAGGTCTCCTTTTCCTTCCTCAAGTGTAACAAAATTCCCTGCTGGTGTCCTATGTAAAGATAGTCGGCCCTTTTTGGATCTTTTGTTGGGATCAGCAACGGGGTCCTTGAAGACATTAATCTGGAAGAAAGAGAAATAAAAGACTAATCAGGAATGTTATTCCCATTAAAGAACAAAGTTTATACATAATTTATATATAAACCTAAGGCACTTTATTGGTATAACTAAACGAATCCACATCGGGCTTTTAGAAACAGAACTCTAGCCTCTGTTGGAAGACAGAGTCCTCTGTTAGGGAAAAGGGTTATGGAGTCTTGAATATCCTAACATTCCAGTATAGCACATGCAGGCTACTGGGAAAAGAAAACAAAAAAAAACTATGTCAACTGTATTATATAATCTGTGGCAAGGGAACTAAGATTTTTACTAAGGTAAAGGCTTCCATTCCATACTCCGTAACTTTTCCTTTTGTTACCTTTTACTTTATTCCTTGTTACTATGAAAAGCAAAGACCTAGAGAACCTGAGGAGAACACAAGGTTTGTTTAAAGAGCAGAAAGGTAGGAGGCCAACATAATAGAAGCAAGGAGTGAGAAGGTTCCAAAGACAGAGGTGAGGAAAGCAAGGAACCAACCCAGAACCCAGGTGTTCTGAAGAATTCTTAATATCTCCCACTCCCACCTTTGGATCCATAGAGTCTCAAGAGCCTACGAAGACCCTTGTTGTTCAGCTGCCTGAAACAGGCAGCTTGGGGTCCCGTTCTAAGGCTATTAGAACAGGATTCTGGTATCCCAACTCCCACTCCATGCTCCACCTTCCTAAAACACTGATGGTGCTTACACACCTGCTTATGTTTCATATATGATGGCTGGGTTAGCTGACATTCCCCTTCAAAATGGTAAACTTTTTGACTCTAATACTGAACGAGTGGGCAATGACTGGCCTGCATTACTTCTCAAATAATCATCTTCTTTTTCCTCCTTTCTCCATGTCATTTTTTTTTTTTTTTTACCTAAGATCTCTTTTCTTTCCTTGCTTTGAGTCAAGGTCAGTGGTAGCTGACAACATAGTTTAGGACATATCCTTTGACTACTGCATTCAGTAACTGCATTCTACCTGACACATAAAGAAGGTACTAACACAAGAGTAAAAGTTGAAGGACATACCCCAAGGCCATTGGTTACAACATAGCTACACTTGAAGGAACAATTCAACAGATCTCTTGTTAACTTCTGTAGCAAAGCTCCACCAGAACCGAAAGCAATGTTTTCAATACTCCATTTTTTTTGCTTCATGCCTTCTACAATCTAGAAGATCAAAAACCACTTAAGTAATTTGAAAAAGGAAGGAGGTTATTTCCCCTGGGTCATAGTGATGAATAAAGTCAAACATCCTGGAGCCATTTTATAACACCATACACAGTGAAGGGTAAGGCCTACAGAGTTATGGTCCACATTTTCTCTTTTAAAAGACCTACCCCCCTTCAAAAATGCCGGGCTGAGGTATAAGTGCAGAAGGAGGATTTCATTCAGAGCTCCTGAATTTGTTGTGTTGTCACTGTGGCTGTGGTTAGGGTCGGGGGAATGAAGGAAATGAGGGAATGAGAACTAACTGGTGATAAGACACGTAAGGTCTTGTGCCGGAAATCTACCTGAACACAAATGTGTCGACAGCTGCCAGGGAGACAGTGGAGGACCACTCGTGTGTTTGCTCAGGAGAGCTGGGTTGTGTTCGGGGTGACCTCCTGGGGGTATGGCTGTGGAGTCAAGGATTCACCTAGTGAATTGTGTCTAACACAAAAGAGATTTTTGCCTCTTTACTGAAATAAGTGGATTCATTCTGATACACAAAAACCCCAGAGTGGGGTTATACCATCAACTTCATGACATGTCACAGGGAAGACTGACCATGAAGAGCCAAGTTCAAAAGTGAGGCTGACAATGAGAGAAGTTTGAAGTTAAACAGATTTTTCATTGTGTCAAAATCAAGGCATCGACTATATGTAGGAAGCAAAACCATACGGTTCCTTTTCCTACTTCAGAAAACTTATTTTGAGCCCCCTCCAGGATGAAGAAAGCAGGTATTACCCTTTATGTAAACCAACACACAAGTGCATCTGCATTAACACAAACTGGCACTGGTGTAACCTTGGCCAGGGATGAATAAAGAGTACCTGTGTCAATATTTAACTCCTTGTTCGTAAAGTTAAAAAAAAAAAAAAAAATTCAAGTTTTAAGCTGAGTCTCAACTTAAAAAAATGCACTTGCATTCTCAGCATTTAAAAAAAAAAAAAAAAGGAAAGGAAACTTTGGTTTTTAAAGGGAAGTTCAAATACCTGACTGAACCACCTGACTTTTAAAGAGCTGAATGCCAGGTCTGAGCCATGAGAAGAGCTAATGGGTTTTCTGACAATGGCACAGGTCCCTGCCCATGATGTTTCATCTGAAAGAGGGAGAAATGTGGGTGACAGCACCTGCTAAACTGGCTAAAATGCAGGTATGGGTAACAGTTCTTAACTGATGATGAGGTAAGAAACCTTTACGTTAGCTAAGGAGACAACAGCTATTAAAAAAATGCCCGCTGAGATTTCTGTACTTAGGTCTTCCTCCTCATTGCGGACTTTATGCCTTCCTTCCTTCTCACATGGAAGCCCCTAATGTCCCAACACCAAATCACGTAGAGGAGTTTGGGGAGTTTCCACTTTTCTTAGGTAAAGCGGTTTGGGAGAGCTGAGTGGAAAAAAACCTCATTTCTGTAATTGCAAGAGATCTATTCCAGAAACCTCATTCTGGAACTTTACATGCACATCACCACAGAAACACAGTTTGTTATATGCAATAGTTCTTTCTTTTATATGGATCTTTTGGAACACAAACTATTTACACTTTGAATACTGCCCTTACTCTCACCACACCAAATTCTTGCAAACAGAAAAATCCTTTAATAACTTGTATTATGAAAATGGATACCATCTGAGGCTGATAGACGTTAAAATATCAGTGGTTTTACAATAGTTGTCTAAATTATAATATCAAATGATAGCCTTAATTTTTATGGAGTATTTTAGGTATTTGTTAAAATGAAATAATAACTCTTTAAAAGCTTATTTGGGGGAAAAAGAGGCAAAAGTTTTAAGATCCTAGAACACTGTTTGGCTAAATCTAACAGTAACAGTGATGACAGTTAATGTTTAGAAGAGGTGATAAACCATTTTATACTTTTTAAGAAAGCATACATTAATACCATTCAAGTTTTATAATAAATTGTCAAGTATGTGCAGCTCCATTCCAATAAAACACACCTACTTAAGCAGTGTCAAAATGTTTTGTTTTATATACAAGGAAATGTTGTTTGGCATTTTGTTTCATGGTGACGCTTCTTCAGGCTCATCAAGGGTGCCCAATTAAGGACAGAGAGTAGTTAAGTGTGGGTATGGCTGATACACCTAGACCTTAACTCACTAGTACAGCTGCCTGTTGAAACATGGGTTTGTTTGCACCAGTCCACTTATACACAGATTTTTTTTGACAAATACAGTATAGTACTATAAATGTATTTTCTCTTCCTTACAATTTTCTTAATATTTTACCTAATATTTTTCTAATAAAATATCTATTATATAATATGTAATTATATAAAAAAATATTTCTTTTGTCTAGCTTACTAGGAATACAGTATATAATATAATACAGTACATAATACATATATACGTGTTAATCGACTGTTGAGTTATTGTAAGGCTTCTGGTCAATGGCATTCTTCTAGGAGTTAAGTTTTGGTAGAGTCAAAAGTTATACATGGATTTTTTGACTGTGTGGGATATAGGGGAGTGTCCAT